TCCTTCTGCCTGCTCTGCTCCCCGCTCTGGCTCTGGTGAATTCTCTCGCCCTCCCGCGCTTCTGACTGTACCCAGTGCATGTATAAACAAAAACAAACAAAGAAACCAGCAAACAAATAAATAAAGCATGCCTCTATTAAAAAAAAAAAAAAAAAAAAAAAAAACAAGGACCATGTAAACCCCTACATGGTCTGAGGAAGTTAGAAAGACCTCATAGAATATTGGGGCACAGACAGCATTTGTAGGATCCAGTATCCCTATCACGCCCAAGGTCAGGATTCTGAGAACCTAGGGGCAATTCTGGAAATATCCATCCACTTCTTAAATACTCAGCCCTGTCTTTTAAAAATATTCTTCCCTTCCCTTACAGGGATTGGCCCAGTCTAAAGTAATGTTCTCTGCAAATATAGTAAATCCTTGAGGTGGAACAAAATCCACTACAGTGTGACCCAACCTTAACTTTTGTCCTATTCCTGGGATCTATGTCAAACAAAGATGGATGAAACTTATCATTGTGTGCTTGGTGAGGAAGTGACTGTCTTGGGTTCCTTTAGAACTTCTCAGTTTGGTCTTCCATGTGCAATAAGATGTCACAATATTTCTTTTTTTTTTTGTTTTTGTTTTTGTTTTTGGTGATTGCGTAGACCAACTGAAAATTATGACTAAATCTCCAATATCAATAGTGCTGGGCCTCCCTGGTGGTGGAGGGGTTAAAGAGAGCACTGTGAAGCTCTCACCAATATCATAACTGCACATTTTACATGATTAAAAAGTTTAGACTCAGTTGGTTGCATTCTGGTGGAGCTTTACTACAATGAGCAATTATTTTGTGCCGTGTTACTTTGCTACACTTATGACAATGCACAAAACCGACATGGTCTCTGGAACTTGCTCTCTCAAGGAGGAAATGAACCATAAGCTAATAAAATAACTGCAAACTTGGATAAGGGCTATGAAGAAGTCAAAGGACTGAAACAGAAAATAACAGGGTGGGGGGGTGTCCCACTTCAGGTGGTCAGGCAGTCTCCTCTAAAGAGGTGACATTTGAATTAGGAAGGATGAAATGAAAAGAAATGGAGGAAAAGCATTCTAGATGGCAATAGTATGTGCAAAGGCCCTGGGGCATGGCTGGCAAAGATTGAGGTTTAAGCTGCATGAGTATAGATTCAGGAGTCCCAGACTAATCAGAAAAGAAAACCAGGGAAGAAGGAGGCCTAGAGTCAATGCAGAAGGGTAAGGCCTAAGCCACAAATTCAGGTCTGCTGAAGGTCAGCCATTTGCAGGCTGTTCTAGACCAGGAGCTGCACGGGTCTGTGCCATAGGATGGGGATGGCTCAAAGCAATGACAACTCAGTGGAAACCATGGAGAGCCTTCCTGATTCTCAGAAACAGTGCAGCCTGCAGGACCCTTAAAGAACATGGACCTGGGCCCCCTCCCACTCATTCAACAATGTTTGGGTTTGAAACCTAGTATTTGCCAAGCACTATGTTAGGCACTGGAGATAGAGCCTGGACAAGACAGATAAGGCTTTGTGTCCCAGGGAGGGAACAAAAATAAAATAGAAGTTGCTGCCGCAAGCAAACAAAGGTTTTGGATGAGGACTAGAATTCAGGGGAGGTCTCCCTTCCTGAATAGGATTCCTGAGACTTGGGTTCCTCCATTAGTTTTTCTCCATTAGTTCTTCTCTGGTGAATTTTATTCGGAGACTAGAACACTTTGGTCTTGGGTTCTCTTTCTAATTGGTAAGAATTTAAAGAGAAACATACACACACCTCCTGTTTTAAGGGCTGTTAAAGGCCCACACACAGACACAGGAACACCCAAACACACAGACTTCTCTAATCTCCCTAAATCCCCTCAAGGCTGGGGTAGTGGTGGTTCTCTGTTACCCCAGTTAACTCATGAGAAACTAGGCTGGGGACCTGGGGAGCAGTGATCAGGCTGAACCCTGCACCCCTCTGTCCCTGGGCTGGTCCCTGGGTCCGGTTGTGCCCATACCTGGCCTCCCCAGCTGCTGGGAGGTGATTGAGTGTGCTGGGCAAACATCCTTGCAGCTTCCTGCTGCTCCCCTCTGAGCCAACAAAACTCCTCTTCCTTCTCTCCCTCCTCCCTACACCCTCCCAGCTGGGGCTTCTCTGGGATCCAAAGCCATTTCCCTCCAGAGAAACCAGAGTCATCCCTTCCCCTGAGCCAGAAGAAGGAGGCAGGAGGGCTGCAGGCATGTGTCTCTGTCTGGAGACAGCCTGTTCTCCCTCTGGCAGCAGACCTCATACCTGCCCAGGAGCTGGAGGATCAAGAGTTCAAGGGAAGAGAGCCTAAGGACACATTAGGAACTGCAGGAGAGTGGGGAGAGGAAGAGGGGAGAAACGCCCAGACCTGGCAGGAAGGGCAGCCTGACGGTTCTAAAAACAAGGCCCCACTTACCTCTCCCAGGCACACCTGACTGCATTGCGTGTTCATTCTCCGGTGTCTGTCTGAGCAAATGTACCCTCTTCCATGGTTATATTCAGGGTGAGCGTGCTTTTTGCTTTTTGCACCGAGTAACAGAGCACACACACTTTCCATGGACAGTTTGGTCTTTATCTGGATTTTTAAGGCAGATTGTGACTATGTTGCTGTGCAACTTCCAGACTCAGAAACACACAGACTCTATCCCTTTCCAACCTTAGCCCTGGAAACACTTTCCTATGCTCATGCAGAATGAAGAGAGAGTTGGGGGTGGGGTTGGTATGGCATCTACTTGGAAGGGACCTTAGACATCTGAACAGAGGCCTTAGAGAAGAGAAGTGACTTGCTCAAGGTCGCACAGCTACTCCTCAGAGTATTCCTCCCTAGCACCCTATCTAGCAGCAGGCTACCTGTGAAATCCTACCTGTCATGCACGGTGCTGGTATTAATCTATACATTCATTTTTCTCTGACTAAATCCCTACAATCACACCAGGGGAAGGTTCTACATCTCTGTTTTTCAGATGAGGAAACCAAGGTCCAGAAGAAGAAAAGTCACTGGCTGGTGGCAGAAGCACAGCTAAGAATGAAATTTCCTGATTCCCAGCCCAGGAGTTCTTTCTCTTTCCCCTTAGAAACCTCTGCCTTGCTGGCCCTGGCTTAGGCTCCAGGTCAGGAGGCTTCCCCACAGGGCTTTCCCTCCTGACTCCCAGTGCTGGATACCACTGTCTGATTGAGCCTCCTTTCCTGCCCTGGATGCTGGCCCAGATGAGCAGCTGGGGCTGCAAGGCTGAATGGAGCAGCAGGAAGAGGCTGTAGGCGGCAGAGTTCATTCAGAAGAAAGCCCAACACAGAGCTGCAGAGCAAAGCTTACTGCCCCCCTTGGCTGAAAGAGTACAGCTCCATCAACACTGTCTCCTACCCGACCGGTATCCGTTACCAGTTCCAGGAAGAGTGGATAAAACCTCAGATCCTTGCCTGCAACTTTAGACCATCCTTAGAAAGACTTGAGCCAGCTTTTTCTCCGAAGAAACAGGCCCAGGGAGGAGAGCCAGTGGTGTGGGACAGACTCGCAGAGGGAGGCAGGACTAGAACCCAGGTTTTTCTATGGCCAGTGCAAGCCCTTGATCCTCCTCCGCCTGCCTGCGTGCTGAAGTGTGCTCTTCCCGACCAGGGACTGGGGCTGGGACGGGCCCTTTCGCTGGGAGTGACCTGGATCTGCTGCCTAATGGAGACTTCACACCCCCTGCCCCCTGGCTCAGGTTCCTGTCCTCTGATTTGTTTCCCTGACATTAACGGTGGCCTGGGACAGTTTAGGTAGAAGTTCAGGATGCCCAATTTTTTAAGTCCCTGCATACTTGGCTCTTGAGCTGCCAAGTTTATATTAGTCCCAGGAGGCAGAGACCAGCAGGTAGAGGTAGAGTCCCCTGAGATGATCAGTGTGTGTGTGTGTGTGTGTGTGTGTGTGTGTGTGTGTGAGAGAGAGAGAGAGAGAGAGAGAGAGAGAGAGAGAGAGAGAGAGAGAGAGACAGTGCGTCTGGTGGTTCATTGCATGGGGTGTGTGTGTGTGTGTGGGGTGCCTATTAGATTTGTCCACATTTTAACTGGGCAGTCCCTTCTGAACCCAGATATTTTCTCCCTTACGGAGACCATGCCCCTCCCCCAGGCAGAGCTGTAGGGTTGAGCCTGAGAGAGGAAGGGAGAGAGAGAGGCAAGCCACGTTTCCTTAGGGAGGGAGGGGAAGAGAGAGGAAGAGTAGAAGGACAAGCCCAGAGACAGACACAGGGAGAGAGACAGAAAGTCAGGGAGACACGAGGGACAGAGCAACAGCTCTGGAGACACAGAGGTGGGGAGAAAGCCCTCCCTCCCTCCTCTCCAGTCCTACCCTGTGCTGCCCTGACCCCTGACCTGATGAGCATCAGGTCAGCTGGGGGGATGTCAGGCCCGACTCCCCGGGAGGCCACTGTGACACCTCAAAATGTCTGGGTTTGGCTCTGGCTACCTAGGGGTGTCAGGTCCCTAGTCCTCAGAAAGTGTCTGTGCGGCAGCCTCCCCAGTGGAGCACCAGCGGCTGAGGCGCCTAGGCCCTAAAGGGGGCTCAAGAAAGGGCGCAGACACTTTGCCCCCAATGCAGCAGGGGAACCCTGGGGTGTTTGAAGAAAACTAGAAGATGGGGGGCCGGGGGGGTTTCAGGATTGGTGTCTCCGGAGCTCGCATACCCAAGGATCACACAGCCCCGACCCTCAAAACCCCCCTCCCCTGGAAAGCCGAGGTCCAGGTATACACAGATGGAACCCCCAGAGGGGCGCACGCTGGCGCTAGCTCCGGGGATCGAGGCTCGCTCCAGATCTAGGGAGGTGTCGAGGGATCTAGTCACCAAATCTCAGAGCTCTTAAAAGCACGTGTTCCTCCAGGGAACCCTACACCAGAACCCCCTCCCCAGCTTGGACCGGGCGATGTGCAGTCGGGTCCTGCCGGGAGGACCGCGGGAGCAGGGGCGCGGCAAAGAGGGGCGCGGAATGGTGGAAGGGGTCGTAGACCCTTGATCTTACCGCGTTGTTGAGGAAATCCGACTCATTCAGATCCCCCAAGTCCAGGAAGCTGGATCCGGGGAACAGCCTGTCGGCTGGGAAGGGCTCCAGGACGGCGTCCATCGCGGCGGGCTCGGGAGACCCCCTTCTGCTGGGCTCCCTCACTCCAGGGCGGCGGCGCGCCCTGCCCCGAGCTCCTGCCTGAGCGCTGGCAGACTGGGGGAGGCAGGTCCCGGGCGCAGCCCCGGTCGCAGGCGGCGCGGCCCCGGGTGCGGGGCGCGAGGGGCGCGCGGCCCTTAGGACAGCAGCGCAGAGCGGGCTGGGCTCAGGGCACCCGGGCACACAGCGGGCATCTAGCCGACTCCTCCTCCTGCTCCTCCGGGGACACAGCTGGCTTCCATGGGGAGCCCGGGAGCAGGGGTGCGGGCGTGAGGCGCCCCCCCCGACAGGGTGGGAGCCGGGGGCGGGGGAGCAGAGCGCTCCCCCGAGACTGGGTGACGGCCGGGCGCTCCGCGCTCTCTGCGTCTCCCTCTGCACAGCTTCTGTCACTTTCCTCTCTGTGAAACCGGGAACCCCTGCCTGGTTAGCCCAGCTGGCCGAGGCGCCACGCCCCCACATCAATATTCACAATAATTTCATATTAATGAGAAGAGGGTGGGGCCCGATGAAGCCGCCCTCCTCTTTTAAAGAGACATCTGCAAGCGCCTCTTCCTTGCCTGTCTGTTTCCTGAAAGCTCAAGCCAGGGGCTGGACGCACGAGCCTCCCTGCAGCCAAAGTCTCTGGAGGCGACCGTGCTCCTCTACGTCCATGAGGGAGCCTTAGACTCCTTGAGGGAGCCTTAGACTAGGGCCTGAGCCAAATTTAAGGCTGGGAAATTCCATCTCTCAGGCCCCTCAACATACCTCCTCTAAAAGGCTGGAGATTTTCACTTGCCTCCTCTGGAAGCTGGCCCTGGCCCCACAGGACATTGTGTGCTGATCTCCACTAGGGCATTACTGTGGCATTGTCGTTTGCTCGCGTGCCTTTGACCTCAACTGGACTCAGCTCCCTGTGAGCAAGAGTGGCATCCAGCTTTCCTACGCATGAAAGGGTCGGGTGTAAGAAGAGATGAAACAAGGACCCCCTCTTTTCATCAATCACCAATCCCCCCTAATGGTATGAACAGCCAGAAGTTGGAAAGGGTGGCCATGGTGTCTTCCTGGCCACCAGTCACTCCCAGCCCCCCATCATGACCTAAGTGGCCCTCTTCTGAGTGCAGCTTAATCTCTTGAAAGGGCTGATAAACAATCAGCAGGCACCTGAACAAATGGAGGTGGCTCAGATAGGCACACCCTCAGAGGGCTGGGCACGCTGTTTCCTGCCCAGAAGTCATTAATAGGATTAAGTGTGTCCTCCTTGTCTGGGGCTTTTCATTAACTCAGGAACCACAAGTCCTGTAAGAAGCAGAGATGTCATTACAGCTAAGCCAGGGATGTCACTGAAATTGCTTGCTCAGTGCCAAGGTAGAAGGGTAAGCACCTATCGAGGTCAGGGAGCTGCTGTTTGTTTGCCTAGAGCAGGCTGGCAGGCAGGTGGCTTTCCCCACCTCATGACCCAGTTGACACAGTTCTGGAGAATGAAGTTCTGACCCTCCAGCTTGTCACATGACTATTAGCTCTCAGGCCTCCTGGAGAGTTTGCTCTAGAGAAGCTGGGATTAGGGCTTGTGCTCTGGGGACCGGTTCACCAGCAAATCCCAGAAGTTAGGCTGAGCCAAAAAGAACTGAGTTTGCTGTCAAAACAGTGGCTGGTACCATTAGTGTTCCCGGATCATGGCTACTTCCCCCAAATATGTCACATCTGGCCAATTCGGGAACATTCAAGCACTGGGAAGGTGTCTGATCCTTTCCTGGGGAGAGGAGCAGCCCCTGGCTGGGAGGACAATCTAGTATGTGGTGGATGAGCTGGAAGCAGCAGGTGTCTGGGGTCCTGGCTCCTGAGCTGGAATCCTTGCAGGTCCCCAAGAGGAACAAAAACCCCTCTGCCTGAGGTTGGCTGGAAGTGGTGCCCGAGTTCCTCCCAACCTGCTCTGTAATTAGAGACACAGGCACCATTTAAGTGATTGGAGAAGATTATATAGTTTTAGATAAATAGGATTAGAGTGTCCTCTTTCCTGATTCTTACCCAGGTGAACACCCCAGGAAACCATTGAAAATAATCCTGGGGAGATATTCTGGTTCCGGCACCTCCTGTGGAGTCTGAGCGAGAAAAGTCCTGGGGGGAAGGGGTGGGGAGGGCAAGAAGAGGGGTGGGCAGTGTGGAGCCTGACTGCAGCAGAGTATAAACCCCCCCAGCCCCTGGATGAAGGAGATGGCAAAGACCAGCAAAGAGTGTGATATGGCTGTGTGGGTGGGGAAGTCCTCTCTGAAGAGTTGACTGGAGTCATTTATGGAACAAAATGGAGGGAAAAGCATTTTAGACAGAGGGAACAGCAAGCAGAAGAGAAAAAAGAGAGACAGGCCTTATGGAAGGGAGAGGCAGTGACATGGGAATAAGATGATGAAGAAACCTAGTCCTTCTGCTCATACTGAGGCTCTCAGCTCTATTCTATAAAAGTTCTGAAATGAGTTGTGCCAAGTCAGATTAGAGGTTCCACTGAAACCTTCTGTAGCAACACACCCCTTTAAGATCATCTTTTAAAGATTGTTTTCAGGCGAAGAAATTAGATGGCTCACCAGGTCTGAAGTCTGGCTCCTGATCCAGTGGGAGGGTCTGCTCCCTCCCTGAGTGTGGTTCCACCACTCAGGGCACACCCTACCCCTAACCCAAGGGCACTTCTCTACAGCTGAAGAGGTCAGGGGAGGGATGCCTAGATTGCTCTACAAACACCCCTAAATACCCAAACTGTCATCCCTCCTTTTATGAGCTCAGGAACATCTGGTTGTTGCTCTCCAGCAGCTGCTCCAGCTGTGAAGCGCAATGCATAAAGACATCCCAGCCCAGGTAGTGACGCACAGGAGAGAAAGGACAGAGATAAGCTTCCTGCCAATCCCAGACATTTAAGGTCATGTGGAGATAGGCTCCTACCAGGCTGAGCTGTGAAAGTCATGGTGCTGGAGTGAGAGTGTGTGTGTAAGGATGGGGGGCTTGGTTGGGGTCTGCCATACTTTAATCCCCCTGGAAAGTTACTGGCCTTCTCCGGTCTCAGTTTTCATATCTATAAACTGGGAGAGGTGTTGATGACCCTTAGGGCTCTGTCCTCTCCAGGGACATTCCAAATGTGCCCTTTCCAGGCTGGGGACTAGCAGAGAGTTGGGAGGTGGGGTAAAGGGCCTGGCACCCCAATTTTCCAGGTCCTTCCTGAGCCTCCTGGGAGGTACAAAGCTGAGTGTTGACATTCAGCAGGCAGGCCCTGGGTGGCAGTGAGGAGGTCGCCCAAAGTAAACCTGCCTTGTTTGCCTGGATTGTAAAGGGAAAAACGCTTTGGCACACTCCAACAGGAACTTCTGAGAAATGAAAACATATTCATCCTGGAGATTAGACTGACTTCCGGGGCACAGATGGAGCCCTTTGTTCTCTGTGGTTCCCTAAAATGGGGTGCATGGCTGCTCTCCCAGGTGCCCCCCGCTGGGCTAGAACATCAAGTCTCTGGGGTGGCACCCTGCCGGGAAGGGAGGTGGGCTCAGATCCTGGCTCTCACTCTTCTCTATCCCCTTAGCCTGTGCTCTCTGCTCCGCCCTGAAACATAAAACGACCTGACATTTATTGAGTACTTGCTTTGTGCCAGGCACTAAATACTTATATTATCTCATCTAATTCTTGGAATAAGCTCTTGAGATCCGTATCATAGTCAGTGATTCTGAGATGCATGTATTAACATCCCTGAAATCAGAAAGCGTGTTCTAGTCCATGCTATGTTCTAGTCTGAAGGATAGCATTTTTTCCTTCTTAATGTGTGTTAATAATGGTGCCAACTTTGATTCGATGAAACACATTATCATTATCATCTCCAATCTGCAGATGAGAAAACTGAGGCCCAGAGAGTTTATATCACTTACTATTCCTTTGTTTATTAAAAAGAATTTTTTTTTTTTGCTGGAAACCAAGGCTTAGGCCCATAAGAATCTTGCTTTAGGTCAACCAACTTCGATGGGGCAGGGATAGGACGGAAATCCTGGTCTTCAGGCTCCTCACCTAGGGCCCTTTCCACTCACCCCAGATGAACCGGGTTTGCTCACTAGGGAGAGCCAGGAGCTGAGGGGAGGGCATTCTAGGCCTTTCTTAGTAGCTAGTGAATCACCAGCCATCCGGCTGGAGAAGGGCCTTAAAGATAGTTTTTTTCTTTTTCCAAATTCTTTGAAGACTGACGTTCCTTAAGGACTAAGAAAACACTTGCCTCCCTTCCAGCTCCTTTTCTTGGTAGTCATTTTAGCTTTTTTTCCCTGAATTTCAGCTCTACGGTCCCATCTTTGCACTGGAGGCAGGCCCGCCCCTTGGCCCTCTGTCCACCCACCGCCTGGGGAACAGCTCCACCCTCTTCCTGCTTTGCTCTCAGTCCTGCTCCAAACTCAACCATTTTTCTTCCAACTCCAATCACCTGCACCGACAGAGCTTCTAGATGTCTCTAACTCAGGCTGCTGGCTCCAGTCCTGAAGATATACATTCAGCCAGAGAGTCCTCTATTTCTCTTGCTCTCTAAGTCAAAAGTAAAGGGAGAAAGAATCAACAAAGCCGGTCTTTTCTCTTGCCTCAGTGAGTCCTTGTGGGTAGGGGACACTCCCCTGCAAGTTCTGCCCCACCTAGGACTGGCAGAGCTAGAACTAAGGGGAAAGGCAGGGGCATGGAAAGTCAGAGGCTTGCCCTGCCTCTGATGGATGGCACTTGCCAAGTGTCTTCCTCAGCTACCCTATGACTTGATTTCCCTGAAGTAGCTCATCCCCAGGACGCAGGGAAGCAGCACTGGGCATATAAATTATCAGAGGCTTTCATGCAATGCAACCAGACACAGTTCAGTTTAGGGGGGACTGATAACAGTCAAGGTTAAGCAAGGGCCTGAGATTCTTCACAGTAAAATGAGGGTTTTGGACAGGATCATTTCTCAAATTCCATCTTAACAGTGCTGAACTGGTATGATTCTGGATCCTTTGTCCCAGAAAGCAAATGTGGGCCTTGGGTGTGTTCTTTGGGCATTGATTAGCCAGGCACTGATTAGCAAATGTGCATGCACACACCTCTCAGGGGGAGATCTAGTGCTTGAAGGTGTGGACTCACCTATGGGGCTGCTGCTACGTGCACGTGTGAGCCCCTGGAGGAGAAAGTGCCAGCTCACACCTAGCGGTGGGCCCTCCCCTCTGTGCAAATCCCTGCCAGTGCGTGCGGCTGCAAATCTGGTTTCCATCTTCTTCCAATAGGCAGCAGGGCTGGGGGAGACTGAGTGGAATATTAATTGTACTTTTGCACGTGGCCGAGCTCCATGAATGTGGTGGTCGGAGGGAGCAGCCTGAAGCTATGTAGGGAATGAGGGGCAAGCCACAGGAGTGGGGTTCCCTGGGGTTTATAGGCTTGCTTGGGAGGAGGCAG